CGAAACTTTTTTTCTCAAAATTAATTTACATTCATCTGATCACAATGTAGAATATGTCTTTTACACATTTGCAGACAAGCAGAAATTTGACAACTTCGTGTTTTATGCAATTCTTTGAGAAAAACCCGTTATATATTTCGGGACTAAGCCATCCAACCTGCTATCTGCTGGCCATAGCCACCACCCCTATGTGAAGAATCGGCTTCAAAGAAAATTTATTTTTTTAACAAAAGCGCTGTTTGTGTTTAGACTAATACCTTGAGCGACATGGGCACTAACTACAATATATAATATTGGGGGCATTTAGATGTCTACACACATTTTCTGTGCTATCATTTTTGTATTGATTAACCTTACACGTTGCAAAATAGGACCCAGATTTTATAGGTTTGTAATTAAGGGTACCTAACACTAAAGATTGTAGCGTTTCTTTCTTTCTTTGTAGGTAAAACAGAGATCTTGAAGTGGGTGCAACAGGCTGAGATATTTACGATGATAAATCTGGCACCATGGTTAAGTAATTTATTTTTTGTTTCTTGTTTTAATCGTACTCCTATATAGATAGGGTTCTGACCATTTACCTTGGGTAAAGAGGAAACGGAATTCCCGATTGTCCAAGGTAAATGGTGAGCACCCATGATTTCCAGTAGTTTTCGGCAAAAATGCCTATTTCGGTAGTCGTGCTATATAATGTTTTGGGGCCGGTTATATATATATATATATATATATATATATATATATATATATACATATACATATACATATACATATAGCTACGTAAAAGTAGCTATACTACGTTTTTCGTAGTTTAGTGTAAGCCACTAAGGCTTGGAATTGCTTTTGATTTGCAGTGATGTCGAAGGTTATTGCAATTGCTACATGTGAGCAATTGCGTTGTGATACATTGATTGGAACCACTGGTTCCGACCATTGTAAGATTGTGTTCTTGATCAACAAGAAATACTGTTTATCTCAGTGCAGATGTTTGTCGTTGGAGTCCGTATCACAGACAATTATAATATAACGTCTCGACTTTTATATTGTTTTTTACTTTTATACTAGAAATACATGCATGCAGCAACCCTTCGCTATTTCAAACCAAGTACACAATTTCCTGATTTCACCTGACCTAAACTTATTTTATAAAATGACTCAAAAATTTTTTTCATGTTATTTTATTATAATTTATCGAGTATATTATAGGTAATATTTCCATTATTCGGTACAAAAATAATCATAAAGCTAGTGTAAACATTGGCTGTTCAATTTTTGCTGCATTATGCCATGGCAGCAATTAAGTAATTAATCTGATTTCGATGTTTGATTAACTGGGGGCACAGTGTGTGTACTGTCCTGGTTAGTCAGAATGAATGAAGAAACATTTAATATACCTGTACGGTAAAACTTTCTTACTTTCACGACAATGCTTCTTTTTATCGTTCGACCCCGTTAATTTGGTATATGCTCAGAACATGTGCACTGGTGTTGCTGAAACAGCACTTTTATAGGCCTAAATTAGCACTGATTTTAAAGTTTTTTTAACCCCAGATGTGATACTAAAACAGCACCTACCTAGAGCCCAATTAGCACTCTTTTTCAGAGTTAATTCAACACTACCAGCGGCATTAAAACAACACCTGTTTTAAGATTTGATTTAGCACCTTCCAACTAGTTACCAAGCATTATTTTAGCACTAAACTACCATCTAGAAAAAACACCCAACTTTGTTATATTAGTCTGTAATGCCCTCTTATGTAGAATTATTGCATGCACTCAAATGCTAGAAATAGTACAAACAAACAGGCATATTGTTAAACATATTCTATAATTTATTTCATTTAACTAAATATATTACACACAAAACTATATTTATACACCCCCTCCCAAATTCATTAACCTGGGTTGAGTCCAAGCTCTTTAACAAATTTTTGAACGGATATTCGTTTTTTCGCATCACCATCCTTGCCCATAAGCGTGGCTTCCAGGAAAGCATAAAAATTCGAGACTTCTGGAGTGTATTCCATGTTAAGAATATAAAAAGAGGCCATCACCAAGGCCACTACCATGCACACCGGGATTCTCTTTCCTGAAAGGTTCAAGTAGATTTGCCCCTCTGCTGCGATATATATTGGGTTCAAACTGCCCAGGTCCCCAGATGCAACAACCTTTGGATAAGTCGTCTTAACAACTTCTTCATCGATGGAGTCATCAATCTACTCCAACTCTATGCACGTGTCCTATACACTCGATCTTGTCTAAAATGCACTTCTTGGCATGGGGCATATACTCTCAACAATAATGAAAAACAAACAACAGTAGGTGCCTCCAAGCTGTTTGCACTTCCAGTGTGGTTGATTTTGCACTGGTGGTGAGCTTTCCATTCTGGGTATTTGGGTCCATTCATTTTTTCTTACACTTGTCTCATGTCCACAACAATTGCAACGTAGTTGGATTCAACTCTTATCTGACGTAGCAAGTCCTTCTACACATGACATGCACCTGCAAAGTACAGTAATTGCAAGCATGTTTTAGGTGATAAACTCATGTTTCATATATAGTTTTTCCACTTTTTAATATTGTTTTATTCTCGGACAAATTCTTGGGTAGCTATGTGTATAACAGAGCTTTGATGGAACGTGAAAATGTGTTATAAATTAAAATACAAATTAATCCGAACCTTTTGCTATATACAGATATAATACACGCAGAGAAATTTGTTAGCTACATTCATTCTCTAAAAAACTTGTACCATTGATTTTAATATTTTGCCACTACGAAAAATTAGACTTTTCCATAAGAAATATTTATATTAAAAGTGAAAAATCTTACCTATTCTTAGAAAAGCATTTTCTACATATAACATAAGAATAATTAAAAGTATGTGTTACAAATGTAGGTTCTTTCATGTAGGATCCGTAAATTTAAAAACAAAAAAAAATTGAATGCGTTTTTACTTTCAAAATAAATTGCTGAGAAAAACCGCACATTTTGTAACGTTTAACACATACTCCCGAAATATTTCCTTAGAGACTTTTTTCCTGAAATAACACGGCAATGTCGTAAAGTGAGTGCGTTTTGATAAAATAAAAGTGCCAAAGTAAGACTTCAAAACTTCTCCATCGCTTTAAGGGTTCTGATATATATATTCAAATATTTCGAACGTAAGTTAAGTACTAGGTTGGTTTAGTACATGTTTCTCTACGATATCATTACGAGTTAAATATTATCGTGAAACGGCATTATTAGGTCGAAGTGTTCGAATGACGCACAAAATGATACCTACTAACTCCTCGGAAAATGGAGTTTTGCAATCAGACATCAAATGCACAGTAACCATTTGTCTCTCTCTCCTTTCGTGCTTCACAAAAATGACATTTCGGACACTTGCAATTGCATTTGTTATGACCAGCCTTATATAAGTGGTGCTAAATAACATACAAGAGAACATTCAATATATTATAATATTCAGATAGCGTGTAGTACAAGTTAAATATATACCTCGACTGCTGGAAAAACTTTAGCATCTTGTCCAAGCACTCGTATTCTTCTTTCTTACTACACAATAAACATCCCTTTACGTACATGTGATATGTAATTGTACATCATATACAAATATCATGCTGTTCATGAGTTTTTCTTGTTGTAATAGATTTGATCAATTAAACAAATTACTCAAATAGTACTATGCCCGAGGGGAAAGGGTGAAGACAAGAGAATCAACAAGATAAAATTGAAAAATCATCTTATACTCTAATACTTGAATTCCCAATGTGATATTACTCTATTTAATAAGGTTGCCATTCAACACTTTTCCATTTTTTTTCATTTTTAAAAAGATTAATATCAAATTAGCATATTTTGAAAGGGTACGGTGCTGGAAAATCACAAATGCAGAAATTTTTTGACAAAATCGTTAATTAAGCTAATTATCCAATATGGCGGCCACTAATTAATGCATAATTGCTACGCATTGTAAACACGATAACTCAAGAACCAAATATCCAAATTTAATGGATGATATATTTTTGAAAAGCTTAGAACCTGAACCAGTGCCTGACACTCTTCAAATTTATGTAAAAATAATTTTGAAAAAATTTAGAGCAAAAAATTGAATTTCTGACATATTTCAGCATTTTATCAAGTGATTTATGAATTAAAATGTCAACAATTCATCAATCATTAAAAATATTAAAATTTAAAGAGTGCCAGGCACTAGACTATGTTATGAAGTATACATGTGCCAAAAATCAATGTTCTCCAGTAAATATTTATAAAGTTAGAGTGTCACAATGATCACGGACACCTGTGAAATTGCGAAAAAGAGAAAATCCTATTTAAAGATTCCCTTTCTGCCAAAGTCCTTTAAAAAGGTTCAGAAGCTACCTGCTTCATAGGTAACCCCTTCCTTTGCCTCAGTTGAGTCTATGTAGCTCTTTCTGAGGTGTCTCAATTTTTTTTCTTCTTGATTTCACCTTTTCTGTACACTTTTTCGCCGACAGTTTGATTCGGCTTGTGTCGCAATCTTGGGCACCTTTAACAGTAAAGATACCTGGCGTTATATCCAAGTCTTGAAATATTTTGACGAAGGATATATCACCATCATTAAATTTCATGACAGCCAAGTAAGTAGCCAGAGCCACTGTCTCTTGCTCCACATAGATGGTCTTTGGACATCTGTCCCAAATTAGGCCATTTAGGCACTCGTTGACATTCTGCGTCAACCCATGAGTGCACTTTCGCAACAGCTCTGGTTTACTCAGGTCAGCATAAATGAGCTCAATCAATTTGACAATGCACTCTGGAATACCATTCTTGTGCTTGTAGGAAGCTGGATCTTTTTTAAAACCACACCAACTTTTTTCTCCATTGGGACAGAGATCATGTTGTGGTTTCTCATCCGACGAGGCGACATGATAAAGAGATGCCTTTATAGATTTGGCCATTGCCGACACATCATCTAAATTCTCTCTTACAGCAAGACCATAATAGTATTGTAAGACATCTATCTTACCATCTGTCAGTCTTCCCTTACCAGATATTCCTTTCCCATCACTAAGCTTCACGCCTTTGTTGATATTCTTTAACTTGCGCAACCTACTTCCAACCCGCTTTTGAACGTGCCCAATACACTCTAATTTCTTTGGGACACACTCCTCTCCATAGGGCTTGCTATCTACAACACTGTTGAATGTAGCAGAATCACCATCCCCTAGCATGTCCTTGTATTTGAGTCCCCGTGTTATGTATGACCGTTCGAAAATCCTAACAGCACCAACTGTTTCCATACTATTCGCACTTCCTGTATGGTTGATCTTACAGTGGTGGTTCGCTTTCCACTCTTCATACCCTGGCTCATTCTCCCTCTTCTGCCCATAACTTCCACATCTAGGCATTTCTTAGTGTCCAATGATATGGCAGTTACAACGCCGTTATGTGACGCATGACCCCTCTTTTGCCAACTGCCATCTAAGGATATCCCACAATGTCCTTCGTCATTTCCACTCCTCTCCTTAACTTCCATGGCATTATTGTTCATACTGGCATTGGCTAACTTTTTGACAATTGGCAATAGCTTTTTATTCTGGATCTTGGTAAAGGCAGAGCGCATTGGTGGTGAAGGCATATTCATGACTTTGGTGAATGTTGTCATGGCACTGTGTCCTCTACCAATTTCCCTAAAAGCCAGTACTGCCCTAACATTTACTTCATGGGAATGACCTTGTTTCTTTGAGGTGTTGAAGCAGTACTTCCACTCACACTCCAAGTTTTGACAATCCAAAACAATATAATTGGAAAAGCCATTCTTCTTCTTCATGTCAACATGAGAGTTCATGTTACTGCCACATTCAGGGCACTTCAAAATACATTCAAACACGGCAAATAGGATGGACAAGTCGATAAAAATGATACCTTCCTTCGCACTTTCAATCTTCTTGGGATAGCCTCCAAAATTTGCGGTTTGGTCACCTATTTTTACTCCAGAAGGTCCTGGCATTTCACGACTTGGGCCGCCATCTTTAAATCTACGAATTGAAGTTTATGAGTTCACGGCAACCAGGTATATAATCCATCGTAATTATCGCTACTCTGGTTTTAGTAAATGAAAGTAATCACCACACAAAGATTAACTTTCACGACCCAACGTTTCGACACTCCGGTCTAGTGTCTTCATCAGGGGTGATCTGATGTTGAAACTCGGTTCCTTATATACTCTCAAAATGACGTCATCTATTAATCAGATGTAAATACTCTTTTGGCAAATAGCTTCCGTCATCCCTATTAAGGGCACAAAGACTCGCATTAATATGCCAGGCTTCCAAACAACGCCTTTGTCCATAACGATCATTAGTGGTAATGACTTTTGAATCGTTCCACCCAATGTTATGGTTAGTTTGACACACGTGTTCCGCCAAGGCTGATTTTGAACTGTTTAAGTTCGATACGGCCTTTTGATGTTCTTTTAAACGTGTGCCGAACTGGCGTTTTGTTTGACCTAGATATTCTTTCTCGCAATCACCACATGGTATAGAGTATACAGCATGAGTTTTCTGTTTAGTTGCTACGCGATCCTTGGGTTTCGCGAAAATATGTCCCAATGTCTGAAAGGGTTTTAAGGCAACTTTTATACCACAATTATTCAGGATCCTCCTGATTGGTTCTGCAATTCCCTGAATGTATGGAACTATAGCAAAACCTGTTTTTGAGGAATCACCCTCTGAGGGATTGCATCTAGTCGAGACAGGGGATTTTAGACAATCATTTAAAAAGTTTTGAGGATAATTGTTCTCTCTTATGATTATGTCCTCAGTGTACTGAGAGAGAACAATTATCCTCAAAACTTTTTAAATGATTGTCTAAAATCCCCTGTCTCGACTAGATGCAATCCCTCAGAGGGTGATTCCTCAAAAACAGGTTTTGCTATAGTTCCATACATTCAGGGAATTGCAGAACCAATCAGGAGGATCCTGAATAATTGTGGTATAAAAGTTGCCTTAAAACCCTTTCAGACATTGGGACATATTTTCGCGAAACCCAAGGATCGCGTAGCGACTAAACAGAAAACTCATGCTGTATACTCTATACCATGTGGTGATTGCGAGAAAGAATATCTAGGTCAAACAAAACGCCAGTTCGGCACACGTTTAAAAGAACATCAAAAGGCCGTATCGAACTTAAACAGTTCAAAATCAGCCTTGGCGGAACACGTGTGTCAAACTAACCATAACATTGGGTGGAACGATTCAAAAGTCATTACCACTAATGATCGTTATGGACAAAGGCGTTGTTTGGAAGCCTGGCATATTAATGCGAGTCTTTGTGCCCTTAATAGGGATGACGGAAGCTATTTGCCAAAAGAGTATTTACATCTGATTAATAGATGACGTCATTTTGAGAGTATATAAGGAACCGAGTTTCAACATCAGATCACCCCTGATGAAGACACTAGACCGGAGTGTCGAAACGTTGGGTCGTGAAAGTTAATCTTTGTGTGGTGATTACTTTCATTTACTAAAACCAGAGTAGCGATAATTACGATGGATCTTTAAATCTCTTCGCTGCTTTTGATGGTGGGATTCTCGCTCTTTTTCTCTTTCTATTACGAGTATTTCCCATTTATATGAGAATAATAACAAAGTAACTGCAATATTCAACCAGAAAAAGCTACTTTTCGATTTTAAAAATGTAAAATAACAATGATTTTTGAAGACAACTGACTCTGTTTTGTTTTGACTGCTCTAGAAATTTCTACACTAAATTCGTGGCCATGCGACCTCCCCCAAACGAACCAATCACAATGCAGCATAAGGAAAGGACTTTAAATGACATACACCAAAAGTAGAACTGAAAAAGAACCAGTTTTGTGGTAATTTTCATGGAAATTTGGCCTTAAAAACCCGTTGCTAAGGCGTTGCTAAGGGAAAAATTTAGAAAACATCATCAATTTTAGCCTTTTAGGCTAGATATAACAAGTTTTTTCATAAAATGAGCAATGTTATCAGAAACTACACTAGTTAAAGTACCTTATACACCTAACTAAATTTTTTCGATTTTTTTTGAAAAATCAGTTGCGGAAAGTGATTAACTACCATCAAACCTGTATTTAAAAATTACCTGAAGCAACCTTTTTCAGTAACGTTTTCTAATCCGCAACTCCATCTCAGGTTTTTCTTCTTCCTCTAATAGTCCAACGCAATGTAAATGAAACCACTTGCGGCAATCTGCTAAGCTGCATTGTAGCCAACATAATTTTTCCGAGGTTGGACATTGGCAAGATAAGGCGGCACATAGTTCTTTTTCCTCTGGGTTGGACTTCAAAGCCCTGAAATTGGTTGACATTGGCGTTTTTACAAGTCCGCTTGTGACTTGTTCATAACCTGGTAATGTTAGTACTAGCTGCCAAAGTGGACGGATGACGTACGCTTCTACAATCATATTTGCATGTTTGTTGCAATCTAAAAATATTGTTATAAGTATTAGTTTTAAAGGCCATTACGGCTAAACCTGAATTCATTCACAGGAGATAATGAGCTGTTTTCATAAAGTTTATCTTTAGGTACCGTAACTAAAATGCAGTTCTTCACGCTTTTAAAATAACATGCTAGTGTAAACATTGGCCGTTCAATTTTGGCTGGATTATGCCATGCAGCAATGAAGTAAATAATCTGATTTCGATCATTTGGGTACCCGCGAAATAATTTATGTTCGATTAACTGGTGGCACAGTGTGTGTACTATCCTGGTTAGTCAGAATGAATGAAGAAACATTTAATATACCTGTACGGCAAAACTTTCTTACCTTCACGACAATGTTTCTTTTTATCGTTCGACCCCGTTAATTTGGTATATGCTCATAGCATGTGCACTGGTGTTTATTTGAATTCTTCAACTGTAGCAATCTATACTCCAACTCTATGCACGTGTCCTATACACTCAATCTTGTCCAAAATGCACTTCTTGGTATGGGGCATATACTCTCAACAACAATGAAAATTCAAACAACAGTAGGTGCCTCCAAGCTGCTTGCACTTCCAGTGTGGTTGATTTTGCACTGGTGGTGAGCTTTCCATTCTGGGTATTTGGGTCCATTCATTTTTCTTACACTTGTCTGACGTCGACAACAATTGCAACGTAGTTGGATTCAACTCTTATCTGACGTAGCAAGTCCTTCTACACATGACATGCACTTGCAAAGTACAGTAATTGCAAGCATGTTTTAGGTGATAAACCCATGTTTCATATGTATAGTTTTTGCACGTTTTAATATTGTTTTATTCTCGGACAAATTCTTGGGTAGCTATGTGTATAACAGAGCTTTGATGGGACGTGAAAATGTGTTATAAATTAAAATACAAATTAATCCGAACCTTTTGCTATATACAGACATAATACACGCAGAGAAATTTGTTAGCTACATTCATTTTCGAAAATTTGTGTTGAACGTAATTTACTCCTCGCGAAACAGTACCATCTGACGTAAAAAACTTGTACCATTGATTTTAATATTTTGCCACTACGAATAATTAGACTTTCCCATAAGAAATATTTATATTAGAAGTGAAAAATCTTACCTATTCTTAGAAAAGCATTTTCTACATATAACACAAGTATAATTAAAAGTATGTGTTTCAAATGTAGATTCTTTCATGTAGGATCCGTAAATTTAAAAACAAAAAAAATTGAATGCGTTTTTACTTTCAAAATAAATTGCTGAGAAAAACCGCACATTTTGTAACGTTTAACACATACTCCCGAAATATTTCCTTAGAGACTTTTTTCCTGAAATAACACGGCAATGTCGTAAAGTGAGTGCGTTTTGATAAAATAAAAGTGCCAAAGTAAGACTTCAAACTTCTCCATCGCTTTAAGGGTTCTGATTGGTTGCTGTATGGGTTCTGAGTTATAAAACTTCTTGCTCCATAACTTTCTATCACCATGTATGTTATGTACTTTGTTTTATCTACCTAAATGTAATGGGCGTCCTTTTGTGTTCTTGAGATTTATGTTTTAAAAACTAATATTCACATTGCATTGTTTGTCTGTTCTGTTTATGTTTAGTTTAGCAGGTGACTTGTTGTGCATATGTGCTTTATTATTGGAGCTAGCCTTTTTTCTTGACTCTACTCTCTTCCTCTCTTGTCCTATTACAAGCGTGTTCTCGTCGAAGAACTGACGTCGTTTCTATGAAGAGGCAAAGTGTTTTCAACCTAAATTCCATTGGAGAACATGCTCAATAAAATTCTATTCTGTTGGAGAGAAAAGACATGTAGAAATGGTATATGGTTTGTCGAAGTTTCTGGTTGCATTGTCTTCTGTTATGTAGCATCTGGATTGCAAAGAGATAAATAGTAACTCCGAAACGATTTTGCGACCATCGTGTTCGCATAACTATTTGGGACGCTTGTATTGTTCAAAGTTTCTAAAACTGTGAACAAGACCATTGGAAGCCCGTGAAGAATACCTCCATTTATTATATATTACGTCCAATATAAGGACTCGATGGAACTGAGATATGAAGACACCACTTCCCGGACGAGTGTTGATAAATCAGGCGATATAGCAATGGAATCGAAGACCTTAGAGTTCAAGTAATTTCCATGGAATGTCAACAAGAGAAGTGTCTACATCTTACTCATTTACGTAACACCTTATCTAAATCAACCTGAAGTCTACCCCCTGAATCTTCCCTTAACAATTAACACTTATTTACTAACGCCGAGGGAAATATTGTGTTTTGATGAACCGGTACTGCCGTTGATTTGAAGCCCTCCACGCGTGGACCTCTTGTCCAATAGGAAAGCAGAAAAGATGAATTTTGATACTAGGCATACAACAATCACAATTGTAACCATCCTATCTGGCTGTTGGTGAAAATTTGTAGAAAATGTCAAATCTATCATTTTGTTACAGGAAATAATTGCTGTCTGGTAATTGTATCAATATTTATGACAAGTGCTAATTTCCACACGTTCCAAGACATATTCCTAAGTTAATGCTATTTACAGATGAACTTGGATTTTGAGGATACATTTCACGCTATTTTTTGGAGGCACTCATCCCCTTGCCTATATATAGTCTAAGCGAACTTCTTCAAGTTTTTCAACCGGTATTTACAACCATCTACTTTCAATTAACCTGGAAATTTTACCTTGTTGCAACCACAATCAACAATTATACCACCTCCTGAAATCATCCATCGTCGATCGAAAGTGAAAGAAACGTTGTATCCAAACATTCATTCGTAATTCCCATTATATTTGCTGTTTGAAAACATTTGTATATACCATATTCAAGAGTCAGAACAATGCCTAGAACAAGAGTAGAACAATAACTTGAGACAGATTGAAAAACGGTCATTTTACAAGAAAAAAGGAAATCGGAATAAAGCAAAGTTTGGAGTGAAGAATATAGATCTCGAATGCGATATAATAATGCAATATCCAACATGTGTGAAATGTATAACCCTCCTTATGGACACTTGTCAACATGTAAACAAAGAGTTAAGAAGATCCTTTTGAATCCTCGCCTTATAATGGATGGCATTATTGAAAAACATGGAACAAATTAGCTGTGAGCAATCAAGGCATTTGTTGAGATTGTCAATGCTGAAGAAACCAAGCAAAAGAGTTAAAGATCCATTGTAACACTTTGAACACATCAACTTGTATTAGTACTCAAACAAAATTCAGACACTCCTAGAAGTGCTTCCTGTGTCCTCATGACGTTTGGCCTCAAGTCACACTGTAGATCGTGTCCCTATCTTAATGATAAATTGGGATGTTCTTGTAATTTCAAAACCCTTATGCTTCACTTTAAGCAATTATAAGGGTGGTGTGGCGTTTCATTTCGAATACGAGGCTCCTGGCTCTTTATTATTGGCTTTTCATACCCCTTTTTCGTCCTTTTCGTTTGCTTCAAATTTCTCTTCAGTTCTTCTTTCCTGAATTTTTTCGATTGAATAAAATTCAAAATTGGGTGAAATAAAGCATAATTTCTTAAATTGTTTAGTCGACCTTCAATGAAAGAATTTACATTTGTAAAGCCGTGTGTGATATACCAGGATATGGCAAAATTATTTTGTCTCTCGTTAACCGAACGATTTCGTTACAAAAATGACTAATGATATGTGCGAAAATAACAATGAAAAATGAAACTTGAAAAATCAATTCGATATCGAACAAAAAAGGACTTTTTGTTGAACGTCTTTGTATCCATCCTTTACATCGTATTCGATTCACACCAGATCTAAATCGACCTGAAAAACTTAGAAAACTTACTCACCCAGTTTTTTATGCCGGATTGTGCTGTTGGTGTCAAACAATTTTTAAAAAATATTGTTATGTTAATCAATTTCTTAGTTCCCTCGAATTTTTTGCATCAATTTTATGGCCTGTATGGAAAATGAACACAGTGATTGATCACGAAATGATAATCTCGGGCGATAAAAATAATTTGTGAGTGTAAATACGGATGCAGACGAACTACGGGAAGAAGGATCCTTTATTACTCGCGTTCATCGGCGTTCCGTTCTTACCGAATTCCTGTGCAGTTTCTGGTCCCGCGATTTTGGCTCATCTGCCAAATTCGTTCTGCATAGTCCGTCTAGGGGTTCCCGATTTTTATCAATCTTGCAAATTTTGAGTATTTTTGTG